AATAATTATGACTACTCAAGTTAGAATTAATGTTTTGACAAAATCATATCCTCATAAAAAAATTTGCCTAAGAATCAAACAATTCAAAAACCCATTTGATTGTGTACATTCTTGCAACTCAATAACAAATAAATGTCACTGTCATAAAAATATTTGTGACAGAAGAAAATTAAATTATCTCAACTAATGCAAGAGATACACCCCCATATTAATAAAATGGTTCATGGTTTAACAAATTCTACTACGCAAGTAAAATAATTATTAATGACATCTCAAGTCACATAATTCAATAATCAACATATATAAAAGATTTCTTAAATTACTTCCCAATTAAACGGACCGATATAATTACATACATCTTCATGTTTAAATTCTCTGGTGTTTAAACACCCATTCAAAATTGATTAGAAATATTCAAATTAACCTGCTTATGTCCAAAGTAGACATAGCAATTTATCATTCCAAATCACTTGAAATTATTGTTAAGAAATAACTTGAGTTGATATCATACATGCATATCAAACGCATCAACTAAAAATAATGAATTAACAGAATAAATAAATCATGCATGATCCCATCACTTGCATCATGAAATAAAAATATTCTCAACTCATAAATAAAATCCAACGCATTTAAACTTTAAACTTCAAAATGACAAAACATATCTTCATTTAATAAGTTTGATTTGTACATAAACAAACAAATTAAATATGCATTAAAATGTTCTTGTGAATATATATATATATATATATTCCGACTCAAGTGCAGAAACAATTCAAGACCATGAATCCACATTGTAATAAAAATAAAATTAGTTTGTAAAATTAATATTTTACTCTAGAAACAAATTCTTCCATGTATACTCACGATGAACTATGATAAAGTCAAAATAATTAACACCTTTTCATAAAGGGTTCAAAAATAAGTGGTCTACCAAACGAAACCATATGTTACTTACAAAATTAACAGATTGTGACCGAGTCACAAAGTTACATGATTGATTAACAAAATTAATTTTCTAGTTACTAAAACCAGAAAATAAATTACAATACAAAATAATTTTATTTTCCTTGTTACTAAAACTAGTAAAATAAAATACCGAAATAATATCTGATTACAAAAATCAGAAAACCAAACCACAACTTAATTTTCTAGTTACTTAAACCAGAAAATAAATTATAACACAAAATCATTTTATTTTTCTTGTTACTAAAACTAGAAAATACTGTAATTTTATTTTCCTTGTTACTGAAACTCAAAAATAAAATACCACAAAACTATCTGATTACAAAAATCAGAACAAACACAAAATAATTTTCTAGTTACCAAAATCAGAAAATAAATTAAAACACAAAATAATTATATTTTCTTTGTTACTAAAATTAGAAAATAATATAATTTTATTTTTCTTGTTACTAAAACTAGAAAAATAAAATGCCAAAATAATTTTCTGTAACACCAAATAATATTCTGCAATTGTTAATGACACCAGTATATTACTACTAGTTGTAAAAAAAAAGAGACAGTATATTACTACTATCTGTCAAATAACATAAATCACTATTTGTTTTTCCAACCAGAATATTAGTTTGCAAACACAGAAAATTAAATACAATGAAGATACCAAAAAGGATTCTGTCTTAAGATTGTTGGACAATCTTCACTGTATTTAAAAGATTTAATTCTATTGTGTACAAAACAACAACTAGAATTTAAAGAAGTAAAGAAAAAGAAAGAATTTGTTTGATTACAAAAATCAAACTCGAAATAATAAATAAATAAATAAAAACAGATTTTATTTTATTACAAAAACAAAATTAAAATCTGATTTAAATAAATAACAATAACACAAAAATTAATTAAATAACTTACTTGATTTAATTTCTTCGAATTATAATCTGATCAAGTCCAGTGTTTGACACTGTGTCCTTAAGACAGATTCGTCCTCTCCACGGTGCTTTCAGAATGTGGATGTCTATCTCCCAGGATAAAATGATCTACTACAAACAATAGCAGCACTACAAATTGTTTGTCTAACGAACACACAAAGTGTTTATACTCTCTCTGACAAGAAAATAATGCAGCAAAATGAAGAGGATGTTTTTAGAATTATGAAGGACGAAAATTAGAGTTCTACAAATCCAAATGAGGGATGTCCTATTTATAGATGGAATGGTGGCTCTAGGTTTTTGAATTGAACAGGTATGATACCTGTTGGTTTTGAATTCAAACAACAGATAACAAAAACGAGAAGGGCCTTGATCAGATTATTTTCGGTTTAATACGGGAAGGGCCCTGTTTGGATGTACAGAAAAATCAAACCAGTTTAATTTGAATTCTGGATTTTATTTTACCAAAAATAAAATTAAATTCAAATGTTTTTGGCCCAAAAAGATTAGTATTGGGCCGAACAAGCCCAACCCAACCTCACACCACGCACTCGTGCCCGACCGAACGGACGGCGGCGGCGCGCGTGTGGTGATTTTTGGGTTCAATGGGTCTAGCCCATTTTGCCCATAACTTCTCCCTCTAAAACACTTGGGCACCCCTTGGGGCACACCCCAAGTACCAAACCCAAGCCTTATAAACCCATTCAAAACCTCCCACCAAATCAATGTGGGACAAGCCATTTTACAACCTTAAAGAATTTCCACCAAAACTCCATTTTCATGGAACACACTTTGGCTTCAATTTCCCATTCACTCAGTAATGGTTTTGAACAACCAAATATACCACGTGAATCACAGCGCGGCATAGAACGCGTTACCACTTTGACCCGTGAAAATCGACGCACGAAGCCCACCTAAAAAATTGACCGAACTTAGAAAAAAATTCTGGTTTTATCCAGAATTTTATAACCATTTCCAACAAAACCTTGATTACTAGAATAATGTGGAGGTGACATCATTAAAATAATAAATTATTTTGATAAAAAAATTGATTTGAAATTAAGGTATACAAGTATATGGCAGTACTATTCTATATAAATTTTATGAAGAATTTTTTTCTTGGTATATCATTAGTTACACCAAAAGGAAAAAAAAAATTCTCAATAATTTCAGGCATTATGAAAACTTAATCAAAATTTTACTATGAAAATGAATTATAAGGTGTAAATATAAAAATAGTGTATTGTGAACTAAATATAAACTGAATTTCATCTACATATTTTATTTTTGTAAAATTTTAAATAATTTTTCTAAACATCACTACAACATTAAGGTTTTAGAGGTAAAAGTTGAGAAACAAAATCACTTTATAGGGAGGAAATATTTTTGTTACCAAAAATGTCATTATTTTATTTTTAACAATGAAATTGAACATTTAGTGATGAATTATCCTTTTGGGATCAATTTTTGTCTCAAAAAACAAACCTTTTGGGATTGAATTATTTTGTGTCTAAAACTACATTTATTAGCGATATTTTCAAAATTTTGTCGGTAAAAGTCTTTTTTTTTAAGTAAATTACAAATACGTTTCTTGAGGTTTACTTAAAATACAAATTGCGCTGAAATTCTGAAAATTACAAATACTCCCTCGTTATACTTTTTATTTAACATAATTACCTGGACAGATAAAGTTTTAACTACTCTTCTGTATGACAATAAAATTATATGAATTATTAATTGAAATATTTATGATATCATCAAAAAATTTTAATTGAGTGATAATTTATTAATAAAATGAATCATTTGTTATGTAATTAGAATTTTAAAAGGGACGTAATGTAATTTTCAGAAATACATTGAGCAATTCATATTTTAAACAAATTTTAAGAATATATTTGTAATTTATCTTTTTCTGACTTTTCAAAATAACTTTCTAATAACTATTCTCGTGACGATAAGAATTAGTCTTCAAAATATTTTTTACAATAAAATTTTATATGTTGTAGTATATGTAACACAATTATTTTTTGTCGTTTCAATTTTTGTCGAGATACTTTAAAAGAAAGAAAAAGTTAACCCAATCCAAGTTTGTGGGTTTGGAATGTCAAATTTTCTACATCCACGGACCACATTGATGGTTATGCAATTAGAATTTTAAAGGGACGTAATGTAATTTTTAAAAATACATTGAGCAATTCATATTTTAAATAAATTTTAAGAATATGTTTGTAATTTATCTTTTTTTAAATTTTCAAAATAACTTTCTAATAACTATTTTCGTGATGATAAAAATTAGTCTTCAAAATTTTTTTATAATAAAATTTTATATGTTATAGTGTATATTTTGTTGTCTTTTCAATTTTTGTTGAGATACTTTAAAAGAAAGAAAAAGTTAACCCAATCCAAGTTTGTGGGTTTGGAATGTCAAATTTTCTACATCCACGGACCACATTGATGGTTATGCAATTAGAATTTTAAAGGGACGTAATGTAATTTTCAGAAATACATTGAGTCATTCATATTTTAAACAAATTTTAAGAATATGTTTGTAATTTATCTTTTTTTGACTTTCAAAATATAACTATTCTCGTGACGATAAAAATTAGTTTTCAAAATATTTTTTACATTAAAATTTTATATGTTGTAGTGTATATAACATACACTACAAGAATTTACACAATTGCCGACCACTTTTGCCGACCAAAAATCTTTTGGTCGCAAAAAAATGACATTTGGCGACTAAATATTAATTAGTCGCGAATGATCGTTATTTTTGGCGACCAAATATTATTGATCGCAGAAGGTTATATTTTGGCGACCAAAAAATGAGTTGGTCGCAGAAAGTGGTATACTTTTGCCGACCAACTACAAATTTGGTCGCGGAAGGTCATATATTTTTTGGCGACCAAAAATTTGGTCGCCAAAAACTTATTTCAGCAACCAAAAAAAATTAGTCGCCAAATTAGTACTTTTAGCGACTAATATTTTAGTCGCCGTTGATTGAAATTTGGCGACTAAAAAAGTTTGTCGGCGAAAGTACCTTTTCTGCGACTAATATGGTCTTTTGGTCGCCAAAAGTGTGAGGGGGTGGAATTTGAAACATGGAGGGGGGAAATGAATACCAATTCGTAAGAAATGAGATTATCCATTCCCGCCACTGCCATACGGGAATGGCTCTTTCGTTCCTCTCAGTCTCAGGTCGGCCATCGGCCTCTCTCATCAGTTGCCTCGCTGCCCCTCCAGCTCCGCCGCCACCAAACCCTAACCCAACCGCCTTACCCTCCTTAACCTGCACCCTCCAGTGCCCTCACTTCCAATCGTACGCACCACCACTGCAGTTTCGAAGCTCCATCGAAGCTCCAGATCAAACCGATTTCGAAGCTCCATCGAAGCTCCAGATCTGAACTCTGACCCCTCGATTACTCGCATTTCAAGTAATATGCACATTTCGACCCAATTCTTCCTTTCCCAAGCCGCTCGACTCGGTACACTTTCGGTGAGTCCTCTCTCTCTCTCTTTACTTAGATATGTCCATGTATCTGTATATGTATTTGTTGATTATGTTGATCTTTAGTCTTTACAGCTTACCATGTAGAATATGAGATGTTATTAAAGTAGAGTTCAATGGGTTACTGATGATTTCCACATCTGAATTTGTGTTCCTTGATTAAGTGTATATGTATATATGTGTTTATTTTATTTTTTTTGTATAGACACAAATTGGTGAATTTTGACAGTGTTTGTTCTTCAACTTGTAATTTGGTGATCATCTAATTCTTTATACCTTTCTTTGTGATTATTTGTTTTTCCTCACTGTCTCTTTCTTTCACACAAAGTGTTTGATAAAATGCCAAGGTGAAATTTATATAATTTGTTGGACTTGAAACTGATGCACACTGTGTATTATGTAACAATGAGAATTTGCTGAGAAATAAAGAAGAAATGGTTGAGTAGTGGAATGTGTATATATGAGCAGATCAAGTGAAGAAAAAGAAAGAAAACAGAGCTTCAAAGAAGAAGATGAGAAATAATTCTTATTTTCTGCAGATTCAATACATCAAACTTAAACCTGCAATCTCACACTTGGCAGCCCAAACTTCTACCATTGCACCCAACAATGGCCCCTTGTCAGTATTACATATTTGATGTTCAATAAACTTTCTGGTCTGACACTGCATATTGTCCTTCATTGACCCTTTGAATCATGGACTATTCTGTTGTCTAAGCCTCTAATAACCTTTATGGTTCAGTTCTATTACTTTATTCAATTTATTCTATAGTACTAGAACACTGTCATATTTCTATATAAATATAGATAGGTAGAAGTCAGTAGTTTACATGAAAAGTGTTAACATGTAGAAATTTGTTGTAAGCAGGGAAATGCTCAGAGACCGGAAGTGTGTGTAGTCACATGGAACAATGATGAGCTTGCAACAGATGCACTACCTGTCCATGGCTTTGAGCATTACAAGGCAAAGGACTATGCCCTTGCTCACGCTCCATTCTCAGGTAAAAGTGTGCAAGAGTTTATGAATTTGCATTCAAACAGTGGTAATACTTATGCATTTTTATGTAGGTAGCAGCTATGCAGGTGGGCAGTGGGCTGCTGGTGATGAGCCATTATACTATATTGTATCCCCAAAGGATGTAGTTATTGCAAAACCTAGGTTAGTTCAATTTTATCTTTCCTTAGTTTCTATTCCAATAGAATGTCAGTATGTAATTTTCCTATTGATAATTAATTACAGCACAAAAGGCCAGAATATTTATAATCCGAATACACTTTTCACATATCCAAAATACTTTCATATTTTTTTATTCACTTTTTACATATTTCAATACACTTTACACATTTTTCAACACTAATAACAGCCCTAAGGGCTGTTTTTATCATTATCGTTAATTATATCAATCTATATGCTATCTTATCTATAAAGTGAGAAGACACTTTTTTCGCACTTGTGAATCCAACCACTGCTTAATGCTATCTGTCAAGTTTAGTTCATGAGATGATTATTATGCAAACATTAGGAGTTATCTGTTTAAAGTTCTCCCCTGCTTCTCATCTTTTTCATATGTCTGCTCACCAAATGCAGTATCTTTACAATTCCAATTAAGCATAGGCTCCTCACCATTTATGGATATCTAAATCTGAATACTTCAAGTTTGTGAGAAGGTAGATAGAAGTGAAAAAAATCTGGAAGTTCTTATTGAAAAATAAGAAAATGGTGAAACAAATTAAGGAGGTGCATGGGCAGATAGGTGTCCCAGTTGGTTGGGGGGTGCTTAAGTAGACAAGTGTAGAATTCATCCATTAGTTTTAGTGAGTTCAATGAATTTTTTATTTAAAAAATTTAAGTGTATGTCATCTTAATATGGTGAGTGAATTGCCTGAAAATGGAATGCTTTAAATTTTAATTCACCTTGATAGAAAAAATTGTGGGATTTAAAAGCATAATTTTGATTCCTTTACTGCTCGCATTGTTTGTTTTGCCATTATATCGTCTCCTATGCCATATTAAAAATCACAAACTCTGTTGATTTACAAATGCAATTTCTTGTTGATTGCTAGGGATGCAGAAGATCATATTTCTTGGCTTCTTCAACATGGATGGCATGAAAAAGCTTTAGCAGCAGTTGAAGCTGGGCAGGGATGAAGTGAATGATGAGGTATTTCTGTTTAATTTAGTTTAACGGTTCATTTATTTATTTGCATTGTATTACTTACTAAATAAGTAATTGATGCATGATTTACATATGAAATGTTTACATTTTCTTTCCCATATTTTCATGGAAACAATGTAATATAGAAACCTACAATTTGTCTAGATTCTCTTATTTTTTGGAAGTAGGCTATTTATGTGTTGTTATTTTTAGTCATTCTGGGTTACTTTGTGAATATGTCAATTAATACCTAATGTTATAATCATGATATCAATAAATTTTCTAATTTTGCTGCTTCTTTAAATTCACTTTTTTTTTTAATGGTCTGCATCAAAGTTGTCAGGAAGATGCATTAGTTACAATTTTGAGAAAGAAAAGAATAATGTGGGTGCCTTCTGGGTTTAAGATATTGAACAATGTTACCCCATATGATAAAATCTGTTGTTTCAGTTTTTGATTTTCAATTGAACTTGAGAAGCAGCAGGCATGTGGAGCACTGGCCCAAGTTTTTTCTATTTTGTAACGCTGTAGTATAGCTACTGTGATTTTGGTATAAGCATTCAAAGTAGTCTATTCTGAATTGAGTGTATTACTTCACTGGCAGAATAAATGCAAAGCGGTAGAGCAACAGAAAAGACTGATGTTTATAGTTTTGGGGTTCTGGTTCTTGAAGTAGTGAGTGGACCGGAGCAAATCATCTCGGTTGGGAATCCAGTTGGGGGTTGCTTGAGCACGTAGCATATTTTAATTTTATATTATACATTTTGCTAATGCTTGTTCTAGTTAAATGTGGAAAGTAAATTTCTGGCTTCCCATATTTCGTTTTGGGTTATGTGGTGAGCAGACCACAATGAAGTATTAAATTGTTATTTGTTTCTATGTTTCTGTTATAGGTTGTGAAGAGCTTCTCATCTGGTAAAAGAGAAGGTGGAGATTCTGTAGCAGCTTGTTTACCACCTAAAGGGGAATGGATTTACTGTGCTGGTGAAGATAGGTATGGCGTAAAGGGCATATTGTTCTTGATTATTATATGAACTTTTGCCCTGTTTTTTCATGCTTTCATTTAGTAAATCAGCCCTTTTGCTCTTATTGTTATTAAATGCCTATATGGCCAGGAGACAAACCATATTGAGATTTTTGTTTTTTTGGCACTATTGGCTGTTCTACTTCAGGGCGGTGTGCCTAACAACACCACAAGTTAATTACTTGTGAATAAACCTTTTGGATTCATTAAGTCTTCTCAAGATAATTTACTTGTTAATATCATACTAAAATATGAAAGAGGATTGGAGACAGCTAAGGAAATGTGCTAAACAATGAAACTTAGTCTCAAAATTCTAGCCTGCACTGACCCATTAAAATAAATACGAAGACGGCAATTTTAGCCAGCACATCTATGAGATTGTTTCTGTTGCCAGCATCAAGAGAATAATCTTTTATATTTATGAACAAAAACTCATCATAATCAGTATGATCATATTGATGCAGAAAGATTATAAAGATGAAGTATCATATTATCAGTTGAAAAGAGATGCCATAAATCAATCTCCCTTCTCCTGTGCCATGTCTACGGAACATGGTGAATTTTTGGAATTTTATTTTAGGAAATGAGATGCTACAAATCATTCTCTCCTTGACCATGCTATGTCTATGAAATGCAGTGAATACAGTAACTCATTCCTTTTGTTCTGTTGGTTCCCTGTCTTCTTGTTCATCTCTTTAATGTGGTGGCAATGGGTTTTGTTGTTTGGAAGCCTATTTCAATCTTCCAGTTCATCTTTATTGGATTTGATTATAAAATAAGCTTATTGCTTTGGAACAGCTGAGCTGTAAATACTAGCCTATTTCCATATCCTTGAATTGAATGCCTTGATGTCTTACTGAGAACCACATGCTTCTGTGATAACAATTTTATTGCTTAGAATTGCTACATTTATGGGATTCGTTATTAACTCTTAACGATTTATAAATTTTGTGCAGAAATATGTACTGCTTTAGCTACCAGTATGGTAAACTGGAGCATCTAATGAAGGTAATCTTTTATTTTTTCGGAGGCCAAGCAAGTGCCACAATCTCTACATTACAAGAATCGGCAATTATGTTTTGAAGTTTGATTCATTCTTAGTTTTATAAACAGGATGTGGTATTAATTGTTAGTTATATTTATTTACTAATTTGGCTTGCATTATGCAGAAATCCAATATTTCTGGCTTGAAAGTGCTCTTATTATTTCTTAATAATTTGGCAGGTCCATGAGAAGGATGTAATTGGTATCACACATCACTCCCACAGAAACCTTGTCGCGACATATAGCGAAGACTGCACGATGAAATTGTGGAAGCTTCCTCAGTGGTTGGTGTTTCTGCTGTTAGTCTAAAATGCAATTTAGGTTGCTTTATTTATTTTCATTTTTCTTTTCTTTTTTTCTTTTAAAGGCTAGTTTCCTACTAGTTCTTTTGCCTTGAGAATTCCCACTTCTTTTTTTCTCTTGCTTTGTTTGTAATATTTTTAAATTGTTTTCCTTAGGTTGTGTTTGGTTGGTGAGGGAAGAGGATGATGGGTTTATTCATTTAGAAAATGGATAACCCATTTGGATTTGGTGGGTCCAAGGCAAAAGTAGTGCTCATTTTTCCCTTAATGTGCATGATACATTCCTTTTGGGGTCATCTTTTTACTAATTAACTTGGATGTAGATCAACATTAAAACTGACTCAAAGTTGTGAGTTTTTTTTTTTTGTGTTCAAATTATAATTATTGGGACTAGAATAGAATCAGTGAAAAATATATATAAATAAATAAACTATATGGATGTATTTATTTATGCCTCAGTATAAATTGGTGGCATTTACAACCTAACAATTAAATTGTTTGACAGCATCAGGACGGTCGCATTCACTATGATTTGCGGTACTACATTTATATATATATATTTATATATATATATATATTGAAGGGGAAATTACATGGCGTAAATAGTTATAAAAAAAGTAGTAATTTTTGTGGGGGTGTCAGTTTTGCTTTGTTTGACAACGTCAGCTTAACAATTTTTACTGTCTGGTATTTTTAATTAATTTTTTTTGTCAAATGCCTGAATATGTAGTTTTATTTGCATGCCGTTGTTCCTATCAATTAATACCATCTTCTTTTCTTTTCATTTTTAAATTATGATTGTTCTTCAAGTAAGTTTTCTTTTTGGACAAAATAATAAAATCTAATTTTTCATGATAACCCACAACACTATATATATATATGAGTAATGCAATTCATCACTGTCAGTAGGAGTAAATGCTGATAGTGTTTCACAATTGAAGAGTGCTGTATGGAAAGAACGGCTGGAAGGTTATTCTCTCTCCATGTCCAATGTTTATACTTAGTTTTTCTGATTTCTCTTGAACATGCACCATGAGTTTTGGTGATCATGAAGGGAAGAATGAAAGAGCGTCAAAGTTTATGACGTTGGGTTTACCACTGTATGGAACGTCACTTGTGCCATTCCTCGAATTTATGTGCTATGTTATTGCCTATTGGGAAATTGGAAAGTAAGAAAATATTTATTGTGCTGAAGGGCCCACTTCAGGTGAATTGCAAATTTTAGGTCATTTAAAGGGAATGGAGCTTTGATAGTTAACTATGCCCGAATAAGTTCATGTTAGGTCTTCAATAACTCATCATTTGTAAGATATGCTACCTAGAGAAGTAATTAGTGTCTGATAGAACTGCTCAACCTCCAATTAGCAATCATTGAATTTTATTTGTGTTGGAGTAGGATTTGACAATGACATAGGTATTTAACTTTTTTGCTTATCTTACTGGTAGGGTTGTTATGGCTGTTAGCTTATTAATCATCGTGTATTGAAATTTGCAGGTACAACAACAGGTACAGTTTTATTATGCCAGCTAGTTGTCTTAATACGATGTACATGTTTATAGGATTTAATTGATTTTTGCAAAGATACGGGTTTGCAATCCAATGTTGCTGCCACTATCATGCTTCTCTGATAAATTTTCCAATTCTATTTCTTTATTAGGTGCCTTACATCACTACTGCTTTGATGGATGCGAAGCTTGGCACGAAAGGGCGCAAGGATCTTTTTGATTGGCTATCAAGGCAACTTAGTGTATTAAAACTTAGAATATGAATTATGTATTGTGTTGAATAGTTAATGAATTAAAACTTAGTGGATCTTTTTGATTGGCTATCAAGGCAACTTAATGTATTGTGTTGAATATGAATTGAAAACTTAGAATAGTTGTATTGTGTCGAATGTTAATGAGTTATGTATTGTGTCGAATGTTAATAATTCAGTTAATTTGAATGATGCTTTAAAATTATAAGTTTATTATGGATTGATTGAATTATAACATCATTACAGGTGTATTGTTTTCCTGCTTTGACGACCAATTTATTAGTCGCGACATCCAAAATTATTTTTTTTCGCAAAAAATGACAATTACCGATCAAGAGTTTTGGTCGCAAAAAATACATGTATTGCCGACCAAAACAGCTCTTGGTCGTGGAATCTCACTTTTGCCGACCAAAAGTTTTGGTCGCGAAAAGACACAAATGGCGACCAATTTTTTTGGTCGCGAAATGTAATAATTGGCGACCAAACTTTTTGGTCGCCAAATGTGACAATTGGCGACTAATAAATTTGGTCGGGAAAATATCACTTTTCGCGACCAAAGTGTTTTGGCGACAAAAAAAATTAGTCGCGGTAATTAAATATTTAGCGACTAAAAATTTAGTCGGCAAAATCCAACTTTTGCCGACCAACCATAATTTTGGTCGCGAATTACTTTTGCTGACCCTCAATTGGCGACCAAAGTAGCGACCAAAAAATTTGGTCGCGGATAACTTTTGCCGACCAAAAATAGACTTTTAGCGACCAATTTTTTTGTTGCCAAAAGTGTTAATTCTTGTAGTGGTAATTATTTTTTGTTTTTTCAATTTTTGTCGAGATGCTTTAAAAGAAAGAAAAAGTTAACCCAATCCAAGTTTGAGGGTTTGGAATGTCAAATTTTCTACATCCACGGGACCACATTGATGGTTTTAGTTTTTGAAATTGTTACATGGAGAACTAGTGGTGTAGAAAAGTCTTAACCCTAACATCAATAGCGTTTATATATGGAACATGCTGATCATGAGAATATTTTGCCATTGTTTGGGAAGTGGGTTTGGGTGGATTTAGGATTAAAATAGTTACAAAAAATAAAATAGGCTTTTTAGCCTTAATAAGATAAAATATCACATCCAATCCATAATCATTACATTCTTTCTCTCATAAAAAGCCAAAAAAATCAAAAGTCTTTCCCAAACTAAATTTTTTAGGCACAGGCTAAAATAGCAAAAAAAAAATTAAAAACCCAAAAAGCCAACCCACTTTTCAAACCAAGCCCATCGTTATACAAACAATGTTTTGCATAAAATATTTTTATAATAAAGCATTGATTTTTCAAAATGGACTTATTGAAAATATGTTTGTAATGTTTGTGTGAAATGATATTTGAAACAATTCGATTCGCATATCAATTTGTGAATCAACTTCGTAAGAAATATTTATTTGTATAATATTACTATTCAGTATAACTTTTACAATATTTTTTAGAAAAATGCTTTAGAGTTGGAATTTTTCGTGGCTTGAGTGGCCCGAATCCAAAACGACTGTCATTTTGGTTTGTTTTTTTCCCCTCTTTTATATCATCGATCTCTCTTATTCTACAAAAATCGGCTGGCCAAGCAAGGAGGAAGAGAGAAAAAGACTAGAGAGAGAGAGAGAGAAAGAGAGAAGGAAAGAAGAAGAGTGAGGGGAGACCATTACCGGTGTCGCCATCACCGGTGCCCGCCATCTTCTGTGTGTATACATAGATCTGTGTATACACAGATCTGTATCTCTCTCTCTCTGTATCTATCTTTCTCTCTCTATGTCTGTCTGTCTTTCTCTTTCTCTCTCTCTCTCTCTCTCTCTCTCTCATTCTCTGTATCTCGCTCTCTCTCTGAAGTCTCTCGTTCTCTATATACACAAATAAGTCTTTGTGTTGGTTGTTGATGATGATAATGATGTGGTGTTGATAATGATGATGTGTTGATGATGATAATCTCCTCTTCTTTTTTCTTCTATTTTTTCCTTCTTCTTCTTTTGTGAGTCATGGAATGGGTGAAGAAAAGGAAGAAAAAAAGAAATCCCAAAATGAAGTCATTTTGGAAATTTGGGCCACTCGAGCCACGAAAAATTCAAGTTACTTAATGGGGTTGTATTTTTTATGTGATTTTTATGTTTCATGTATGACATGGTGTTTGATATTTGTTGTATAAAGACAGGCAAAACATAAAATACAATATTGTATTAAATTTATTGACAAACACCATCCTTTTAGAAAATGATTGGCAAACAAATTTGAATGCATAAATTTTTTTTTTCAAAAATAAATTGTAAACAATTTAGGAAATTATTCAAGTTTAACTTGAACATTTTACAAATTTCATAATATGTTAGAGTTTAACATGATTAGTTTTCGAACGTATCTTAAACCGATTTTAATTGAACCAATATCCAATAGGTTTTTAACAACGTATATAAGTTTATTGAATCAAGTTAAGCTCAATCTCAAAACACGAACAAGTTTCAAAATATATTTACGTTTGACTTACTTACACAACAACTAATCTAACAAAAAATAAATAAAGCTTGAATAATTTAATTTATTTTACAATTATCAAAATTATAAAAATATAATTATCACATTATTTTTAGAAAAATTATTAGTTACTCTCGGATCACGTGTTCATACTCTTTCAGCAATTATCATTCACTATGTCATCTCATATTCCTCAATCACCTAATACAAAATCATAATATTTCACTTTTTCTACCAATCATAATATCATGGAGCTGTGCTTCCAAAATACGCAATAATCACTCTCTCTTGTGTATTTTTTATATACAAATAAAATATATACCATGTAATGTTTACTATTGCGATTGACTTTTAACAGTAGAATCTCCTCCATGTTTCTTAAATCAACTTCATTTCTTTATATATAAACATAGGTCTTGCACCTTTTATGGGCACATCCCAAACAAAATATGAATTCTCTTCCACCATCATGCACCACCATTCCCACCCATTCTTCATGTGCATTTTTCAAAAACACATTCCAAGTTCCCACAATTGGAAAGAGCAAGCATTGCTTTAAAGTATCATGCAAGGCCATAGATGGTGATACAAATGAAAAAACCCCAAATCCAAATCCACCAAAGCTCGATAGAAGAAATATGCTTATTGGCTTAGGAGGCTACGGCGCCGCCACCCTCGCCGGAAACCCACCAGCCACCGCTTCTCCGATCTCCCCACCGGACGTAACCAAATGCGGCCCCGCCGAACTACCCTCCGGCGCGAAACCCACCAACTGTTGTCCCCCAAAATCGACAAAAATCATCGATTTCAAGCTTCCGCCGCCGCCAACCATCGTGAGAGTCCGACCCGCCGTCCATTTAGCCGATGACGAGTACATAGCCAAGTTCTCAAAAGCACTTGCTCTAATGAAAGCACTTCCCGAAGACGACCCTCGTAGCTTCACTCAACAAGCCAATGTTCACTGCGCTTATTGCGACGGAGCTTATCACCAAGTCGGCTTCCCAGACCTCGAGCTTCAAGTCCACAACTCATGGCTCTTCTTCCCCTATCATCGATACTACCTCTACTTCTTCGAAAAGATTTTGGGAAAACTAATCGGCGATCCCAGTTTCGCAATCCCTTTCTGGAATTGGGATTCCCCGATCGGAATGAGCATGCCGCCGATCTACGCCGATCCAAAATCGCCGATGTACGATCGGCTCCGCGACGCCAAGCACCAGCCGCCGATCACGATCGACCTCGACTACAATTTAACTGATTCGAAAAGCCCTTCTGAGAAGCTCATTTCGAACAATCTCACTATTATGTATAGACAAGTTGTTTCGAGTGGTAAGACTGCAAAGCTCTTTTTGGGAAGCGCTTATCGGGCTGGGGATGATCCCGACCCGGGAGCTGGGGCTTTGGAGAATATTCCCCACGGGCCAGTTCATATATGGTGCGGGGATCGGACCCAACCCAATATAGAGAATATGGGGAACTTGTATTCGTCGGGCCGGGACCCGATGTTTTTCGCCCATCATGGGAATGTGGATCGGATGTGGACCATCTGGAAGAGTTTGGGTAGGCGGGATTTTACCGACCCGGATTGGTTGGATTCCGGGTTCTTTTTTTATGATGAGAATGCTCAGCCTGTCAAAGTGAAGGTAGGTTGGAACTTTATTGCTTGTGGTTTATATTACTTAATAACATATATATTGTTAAGATTATTTCTAGTTAATTTTATTGGTCAAACGATAAAAATTTGATAGTAAGATTTAAAATTTTGAATTTAAATCACTCTAAAAATTGATTTGGCACGTTGAGAAAAAGTCAAAAAGTTATTTAAAAAGTAAAAAAGTTATTATTATTCACAAATTAAAAATATAAAAAAAATTAATTTTTACAATATTAGTACAATCCAAAAAGCTACACAGTGATGGTACTAAAGTGACGAGAAATTTACGAAGTGATGATACCGAAAAAAAATTAGATATATATTCATTAAGTTGGAAGGTACTGTTGGGCCCGTGAGAGCCCACTACGGATCCCGTTTCGATAATCCGAACCATTCAATGTGTAGAACTTATCGAGTATTATATGCCTGAAAAAAATCACATTGATCGGATATGGATAGCTATGTGATCAAATCAGATTTTTTCCAGCTGTTTATTTTTTACCATTCATTTTTCTCATACAAAACTATTTTGATCACATAGCTATCAATATCCGATCAAAGTGATTTTTTACAGACATATAGTACTCAATGAGTTCTACACATTGCACAATTTGAATTATTGAAACGAGACCCGTGGTGGGCCCCCACGAGTCCAACAGTACTCGTGAAGCCTTATGCTATATATGCGTATGGTTCAGATTCTTCTCACAATTTCAACCATTCCGTATGGTTCTTTTGCAGCACTGTCACTGATGAGTCTAGAATGTAGGGGTAAAAACATAATTTTGTTATTTTAAATAATATTTTAATACATATTTTTTTAAGAAGACAAAAAGTTATCCCAAACAACCATATTTTTTTCCTCTACTTTTTAGTCTAAAAAATCAAAAAATGTACTCATTTAAGACATTCCAAACAACTCCTTAGTTTGGGAAGACTAAATAAGTGTACTTTTTGACTTTTTATGAAATATGGGTTGGGTTTGGGTTGGGTTTGAAGTGATGTGTCAAAGAGGTGATGTGACTTAAATAAGATGATGCGACTTAAATAGGATAGTGACTTTTTGACTTTTTGTCTTTTTTCAATCATGCCAAACTTAATCTGATCTGCAAAAGATGTTATTGTGTCGAAAAAGGAGACGTGGCACAATATGATTTTAAATCATTTGGGTAATTTTAATTTATAATTTTATTACATTTATTTGTAATTAAAATAAATAATTTATTTTTAAAATTATTTTTGTCATTCAATTTTTTACACAAATATCATTAAAACAATAATTATAATTATAAAATTAATTTAATTTTTTAAAATAATTTATCTGTATAATTAAATAAATAAATAATTTAAATGTGGGACCTACTATGCCTCCACAAACCACAACACCAGGGTGAGATTTGTCATGTATGTGGCCAATATAGGTAGGTGGAGTTTTAGGCCAAGTTTGGGAAGATTAAAAAAGTGCACTTTTTGTCTTTTTGGATAAAAAATTGAGGTTGAAAATATGGATGTTTGGGTTAACTTTTTGACTTTTTATGAAAAAATGTGTAATAAAAAATTGTAAAAATTGATTTGTAAGGAAAAATTTGAATTGGGAGTTGTGCAGCCGTAATTGTTGACTTTTGGTGAATAATGTTAACTTTTTAACTTTTTGAATAACTTTTTGACTTTTTGGCTTTTTTGAATCTCCCCAAACTTGGCCTTAGTTTGACATTTGTGGCAGTGGTTGTCAATTTGCTGCTTAAAATATTAGTTGTATAGTTGTGAAAATTCTAGTGACCACAAGAAGATGAGGCATGGTATATATTTGTGAAAATTGTTGCGGCATTTTGAATCTTGTAAACATAATTATTTAAAAATTATTATCTTACAATTAAAATTTATTCTACATATAAATTTTACGCTATATAAATTTAATCTCTATCACATAACTACACACTTAGAAAAATCTGCATAAATAAGTCTGGATTTCAAACGTATTGAATTTTAATTAATTTGATTTTGATTATAAATTTTTAATTTTTTTCTCAAATTGATCCAATTGATTTCAATTATTAGTATTTTTTAATAAAAAATATATGTATATAATTAACATATGTCATATTTTTAAGATCAAAATTGTAAATTTGATCAATTCAATAATTTAATGTGAACCAACTCAATAATCAACTGTTAAATGATATACAAAGAGGACAATCAGTTTTGGGTCAAAAACCTTACCAGCATAATCAATAAGATTAAACTGATATAAAATTTAAAGTTAAGAGTTAAAATTAAATTAATTAAAAATATATAGACTAAGCTAAATTAATTAAAAATCAGTTTTGCCCTATGTTGATATAAATTTCTTACAGGTCAAGGATTGTTTGGACATGACAAAGCTAGGGTATGTATACCAAGACGTGGACATCCCATGGCTGAAAAGTCGGCCAACCCCTCGCGTCTCAAAACTTTCCCGGAAAACAAACAAGGCCGGCGTAGCCAAGGCGGCCGAGACACAACCAACCTTCCCAACAAAACTCGACAAGGTGGTGCGAGCGACGGTTCAGAGACCGAAGAAATCAAGAAGCAAGAAAGAGAAAGAAGAAGAAGAAGAAATACTAGTGATCGATGGGATCGAGGTCGAAAGAGATCAATTTGTGAAGTTCGATGTGTTCATTAATGACGGAGATGAGCCAGTGATCGGACCGGAGAACTCGGAGTTTGCCGGAAGCTTTGTGAATGTGCCACATAGGCATAAGCATGGGAAGAAGATGAAGACTTGCTTGAGGTTAGGGATAAGTGAGTTGTTGGAGGACTTGGAAGCTGAAGATGATGAGAGTGTTTTGGTTACTCTGGTCCCAAGAAAGGGTTCTGATGCTTTGATCATTGGTGGTATCAAGATTGAGTTTGATTCCTAATACTCTGTTTAAATGCTAGGGTGAGAAAAGAAAAGAAAAGAAAATATGACCGTAATATATCATTTAGGTGAGAAAATAAAAATAAAAATAGAATGACTGTATTTTTTTATTTTATTATCGTGTTTGAATAATTGAGAAAAGAAAGTATGTGAATTTTAAACTGTATTTTAAGGAATTATCTTAATATTATAAATGTTTTATAACCAAACAATTTATGTCTCACAAAATGTGGTCACTTTTGATAATAAAGAAATAGAGATAGTAATAGAGTTTTTTTTTTTTTTTTTTTTTTCACCATTTCTCAGTCAAATTATAAACTAAGATTGATAAAATAATTTTCTTTAAAATAATTTCTCACCAAATTATCCTATCCAAAGAGACGATAAATCTCACTCTTGTAAATATGATTAGTATGCTAATAGTTAAATTAGGATTTGAACTTGTTTTTGTTAAGTAGTTTTGTTCTTTTGTACTTAACCTCGAGATCCATTTCTAGATCTGTTGGACCGTTAGGCCCAAGGTTAAATCTCTTGGAACCACAAAATGAAAAGAAAAATTCTTTTATTTGTGAAATTGAGTTTTCTGTTTTTCGGATGTTTGGTTTCAATTTTCTGAATTTAATTTTTTAGAAATTGAGTTTTTTTTTTTGTATTTTTTGTGTGTTTCTTTATTTTTTGTTTTTAGTGAATATTTTTAAAATTTCAAGCAAATTTTTTTTTTCTTACTTTTTTAGATGCATCTTACTTAGATGTATCTAAATAGTAAAATATTTGTAAAAAATATTTTAAAAAATTAATAAATACACAAAAATATTTAAAAAATGTACTAAATTTTCGTATTTTTTTTATTTTATATTTTTTGTATTCAGTGAATTTTTTTTTTTAAAAATTCACAAATATTATACTTTGTAAGTGTATTTATGTTAGGCGTATCTAAAAATTTAAAAAAAATTCAATGAAAACAAAAAAAAAATACGAAAAACGAAAAACTAGAATTTTTCTAAAAAGTAAATTTTGAAAACTGAAACCAAAATTTTCGTTTTTATCAGAATTTTTTTATTATTATATCCTCACCAACAAAACAAATCAATCCTTAAAAGAGAAAATTTTAAATAACTTAATGTGCATTATTATTTTTCATTTCTCCGTAACACTATGTAAACAAATCTCCAATTATATTCCTTTGTATCATAGGCAAGATAAGGACATTTTTTTACAACATTTTAAACTGTCCACTAATGCTTGGGACTCTGCTAGAGAGATCCCAAGGGATCATTGGTCAAATTATTATTTTATTTTGTTTTATTTTTTTTAACCACTAGCCCTACGTGTATGTGGGGATAACAGGGTGGGGATAGTAGAAGCCTGTATCATGGTTGTTATACTGTCTACTTATAATGAGATTAGGCACACCATGGTGGCGGGCCCACTCCCGAGTGATGTAAAATGTTGTAAAAAATATGTGTGGTTTTATGTGACAACTTACATTTTGTGTATTTTATGTTTGGTTATTTTTTTATATTAGCCCTTAAATTTTTTTTCCTCCTTCACTTTAGTTATTCATATTTCGAGTTTTTTTTTTTTTTAATTTGTTCTTAAAGCTATCTTCTATTTAAAATTAGACAAAAAATTTGACGTTAGCTGTCACATGAAATAAAAAATATATTATTATATTAAGATTTGTGTTTGTGTCAGAAGTGTGACTTATATATAATAAAATATTTTTATACAATGTGATTGTCAATGTGTCTTGTCTAATTTTGGACATAAGTTAATTTTTAGAGTAAATTCAAAAAAACTTAAACATGAAGGGTCAAAATAAATAAAAAAAAATTAAAAAAAAAATCAAGAGCCAAAGTGTAAAAATGTCAAAACATAAAGGGGTAAAGTATAATTTACTCAAAATTGTGTATATAGCATGACTCATGTATATATTTTTTGGGGTAATTACAAAAAAAAAATAAATAAATAAATAAACTCAAAGTATGGCCCTTGTAATAAAATAAATTCTGAGTTTTTTATTTTAATAATTTAAATCTTAATCTTTTGATTTATTTTTAATGTAAATTATTTGTCTATTTTTATTATGTAAAATTGATTACAAAAAATGGTGTTTTAGTTATTTTTTATTATTATTATTATTAGATAGGATGTTTTAATTATTAAATTCAATAAAAACAATTATACTTTAGATATTTTATATACACTTAAATTTAGCATGACTCCTGCGATAAAGGATATCCGACCAAATTAGGCCAAATACTAATCCCCTATCCGGTCCTGTCAAAGCTGTAAAAGTAAATTGATGTATTATTATTGATTGATGTATATTGATTGATATATTGATTGATATGTATCTGTATATTACAAGTCCTATATATAGAGAGGTTTTGGGAGTAGTAGGTGTAGAGTGGGTGCTGGTAGTAGGTAAAGTGGAGGTGGTAGGTGGAGTGGGTGAGGAGTAGTGGAGGTGTGTAGTGGTAGTGGTAGGTTTTAGTGGTGTAGGAGGTGTACATTAACAAAAGCGATCCACACGTATTGCATGACTCATATATATGAGACCTACGAGACCTTAACAGCAACATTCTGAGGTTTCAAAGAATTGGACTTTTATGTTGTGTTTGGTTGGGGGATTTAGAGAGGGATTTGGAAAGAAAAAGGGAAAAGGTGTGTGAAACTATGTGAAGTATAGGCATGATTTATTCACATTTCATCTATTTTTTCTATTTTCCTTTCCAAATCACTCCCTAAATCCCCAACCAAACACAACATTAAAAAATTGGGGGTATAATGCAAGGGCCATATATTAGCTTGGTTGAGAAAGTCTTACTGGTTTATATAGGATTATTCTACAAATCATTCAACATTATAATCAGTTGGGTTTTGAAAATTGAATCAGTTGCATTCAGGATCCAAGGCCAAAACTGTTGGAGGGACTCAAAAATCAAAACTGGACTTCTACCACTGTGAGTAATTGAAAATGCACACCAACTGTTTGATTTTTTGTCTCTGTGACAAATGCTTCATGTTTCTGGTAAGTTGTTTCTACTTTCTATTTCTTGCAAATTTGCATTCAGTTTAAGTAGGTAATCTTCACAAGATTTTAGGTTAGTTAACTGAATGACAATGAAAAATATTAATGAGGGTGCATTACACTAACGGTCCAGTAGTTTGGGATTTGTTACTTGTATCACTTCTGTTCCTGATCTTTCAATTGTGATATATTTGATCATGTATTTTTATTCTCATTTTAAATAAGGACAATTGAAAATACCGTTTCATTTGCAAACGGAAAATGCTCTATTTTAAGGCAAAATCGTCAATTTGATAAAATATAAACTACTTTGACAAAAATAAATGTTAAAAAGTTATTTTTGAATTTTTAAAAATTATTCCTACCCACCAAAGATAAAATTATATAAAAATGATAAATATTTTATATTTTTATATTTTACCAAATTAACTTTTAGTATTTGTTTGGCTAATAGTCATGTAATGGGTGGGCAGCTTTTGTTATTGTTTTTGGATGGTTATCATGTAATAGATAGTTGTTTTTGTTAACAGATACTTTTGGATGGTTATCAAGTAGTAGATAGTTATTAGATTTTTAATACGTAATCGATATGTTTAATATATGAAATGTTTTAAATTTTGAATTTTTTTGATTTAATGAATTGATTTAATAATGACATCTAAATTGTCGCCATGTTTGACTTTTGAAAAAATAGAAACTAATTTAACAAAAATAAATATAAAAATTATTTCTACCCTTCCAAAGATAAAATTATATAAAAATGATGCGTTTTTAATTTTTTTCACCACTTTAATTTTTAGTTTCGTATTTTTTTTTATTTTTTTATTTTTTTGAAAATAGATTATGAAAACCAAACCAAATAAAAATTTATAACCAAGAAAGTGCCAGGATTATTCATAAAAATAAAATAAAATAAAAAAAGATCATTACATTTTAAACAATATACGAGTTAGCCAACACAAAATAAGTTGTATAATAACTTTGCTCTTAAAATTGATCATTTGCAAAGGAAACATATTTGATTGTCCTTATTTAGAACAAGATTTAAAATTCAAAATCAAATGTATCACAATTGAAAAGTGAGGGACCAAAGTGATACAAGCCCTAACTACATAGATTGTTAGTGTAATTCGCCCTATTAATAACGGAGATGTTATGCAAAAAATTGAATGATTCCAATAAATCAAATCATAGCACACAAGATTAAGTGGTTTTGGCAACGTGCCGACCTCCACGGAGGGAGGAGATCAAACCCAATATGTACAAAAAGGATTGCAGGGCTCTGAACCTCTCAACTCAACCACTTTACAATGTCACACTTTCACACTGAAACCTTAACAGACTTGGCTCTCTGTCTTCATGAAAGGTCCTTTATACTAATTTGAGTGTACAATAAAAATGCAAAGGCTACATTGGCTTCACGGTTGACTTCTTGTCTGTATAAGATATGCATACAGTTCTGTACGTTGTTTCTACTTCTCTGCCATTGAGTTGCTCTTATTGCTTACAAGAATCCATGTCCTTTGCATGCTAATACTTGCATAATTGCACCCAATTTTAGTAAGTAATCTTCCCTAGATTTTGATGCTAGTAACTAGGTGATAATGCCAAATACTGAGAACAACGGTGTTATGCAGAAATCAAATTGTTCCAACCACAAAATATTATGAAAAGCAAATCAAATACATAGAATACAATATACAGGTGGTTCAACAATGCGCCTACATCCACAGAGGGAAGGTGATCAAATCCAATATGCGTAAACTCAACCACTCTACAATGATGTCATACTCTCACACTGAAACCTTAATGGCCGTTGGCTCTCCACTTCTGCAAAACACCCCTTACGCTGTGTTTGGTTGGAGGATTTAGAGAGAGATTTGGAAAAGGAAAGAGAAAATGTGTGTGAAATTAGGTGAAATGTGGGTATATTTTATTCACATTTCACCTACCTTTCCATTTTCCTTTCCAAATCCCTTCTCAAATCCCCCAACCAAACACAGCATTAAGGTAACTCTTTGAGTACCGTAAAAATGCAAGACACTCGCAACAAAGGCGATGTTTATAACTAGGCATGTGTGATAACATTGTATAAAAGAAAGAAAGGGGAATATAAAATCAAACAAAGTAAAATGATCAAATAATATTTTCAGTCATGAGAATAGACAATATGCAGAGACTACAAAACCAATCACTTGGATATTAACATAGAGCATTTGTGGAGTAGCGGAGCTAGAGTTTAGCTTGATCTTCTCCATAGTCTTAGCAATGTTGTTCTTGTAGCATATTATGTTCTAATATATTAAATTGACCAACTCAGAAGAAGCATCTCCAGGGCATATGGCTAGATATGCTTGCTTCAATGTGATCGGCCTCAAAATTCGCAATAATATTGAGATCATCTTATACTAGTATCACATATTCAACTGTTCTATTTTTCTTTTTGTTACATTTATTTGCCCAAAATATTTATATTAGTAGATTACTACAATGAGAGTCATTCTCTATTTCTTGAGCCAGTTCTCTTGTCAACTTGTCAGCACGATCATCGTGTCCACCGGCAAATGTATAAACACGGAATGCAAATTGGAAAGCCCTCCAAAGCATTTTAGTAGATCCCTTCATTTCTCTGTCGGTTTTAGATCGACTTTGTTCGTTTTCATCAACCTTTGCTCCTCTGTTCTCCTGAGTCAAAAAGCAAATAATTTCCATTCCATCGGTTAGCTACTTGACCAAGAAAGTAAGGAGTTCATCAATTCAAACATCTATTTGAGCATTTTGCTTTGAATTAAACTACCTTAAGTGCTAACTCCATGCAGTTTGAGGAAACATCCACCATCAATTCTTTGATCCTTACTAGGATACTGAAATCAAAATTGATCTTGTAATTTCGGAACTTCTTGGCTTCATCATCTTTAGTTCGTTCTAATGTGTCGATTTCTCCTTTGATCTATACGTAATTACTTTTTGTCAGTGAGGAAAATGTGGATACTATTAGGAATTTGGTTAGCATAACAGTGACGCATATGGTCCTTCAGGATCCACGGGTTTACCTTATTGAAGTAACTCTCAGACTTGTCAAGGAATTGACTTAGAGGGGCATCAATCTTCCAGTTCTGCAGAGTATTGGCTATTATATCTAACTTAGAGTAGAGTGCACCTGCCATCCTCAATGCCTCCAACTTCTTTTCAGGGAAACTTTCAAACCTTGCTAGCACCTGCACATTGAAGAATTGTATGTCATGACATGATCACATAGTCAAAAAAGAAAAAAAAGAAAGAAGAAGAAGAAGAAGAAGAAAGGAAACGAAAAATACCTGGGATTCATCAGTTAGTTTCTCTAGATGGTGCTCCACGTATTTGTGGAACTTGAGGAGCTCAACCATGTCTCTTGTTTGGAAAGCGCTAATGGTCACTTTCAACTCCATGATTGTTTTTGCATGCTTTTTAACATCCTCTTCAATTTGTTGGAAGTATGCTGATCTGAAGAACAATTAGGAATATGAAAACCTGAAATACGTGTACTTGTAAACTTTTCTTTTTCGGAAAAAGTAGTTTATTTGGTTAGAGATTTTGTATAAGGAATATGTACCTCCTTGTCATCTCTGCTAGTGCATCGGCCATTCCTTGTTTTCCACCAGTTGTGGTCCCAATTTTACCTTTTTTCCCCTGTGATGATTTACTATCTAGATTAGATCCTTCAACCTTCACCTTTAGATGTCGATATAGAGTACCCATCTGGGATGATCTCTTCAATTTAGTTGTTGCTTTTTTGGGACGTAGGGATTTTGAGCCACCAAAAGTAGGAGGTGGTGGGGGAGGAGCTCCCTTTCCCAGTGCCATGGGTGGTGGTGGTGGTGATAGAACTGATTGTTTTGATGACATCCCTGCTGGAGGTGGCACTGGTGTTTCTCTGTTGCTTGCCATCATAGGTGGTGGCAGCGGTGGTGGTGGCATTGCTGAGTGTCTTGATGTCATGAATGGTGGCGGTGGAGGAGGTGGTGATGGCATTGCTGATTGCATTGCTTGTGGTACATTTGGTGCCAGTTTGGTTGGTGATGGTGGTAGGGGTGGCTGTGGAGGCAGAGTCAAGGGTGATAACATGGGTGGTTCAGGTGGTGGTGGAGGAGGAGGAGGAGAAGGTGGTGATGCCACAACGTTTTGTGACATGGGTGGTGGTGGCGGTGGTGGTGGCAGTGTTGATTCTTCTGCCATTGGGGACATGGGTGTTGATGGTGGCGGCGGAGGCAGAACGTCTACCTCTGCCTCTACCTCTACCTCTACCTCTACCATTGGCGAGGTGGGCGTTGACGGTGGTGGTGGGGGTAGCACCCCAGCTTCTGCTACATTCGGTCGAAACTTGAGTGAACGAGGACTTGGTCCTAGTGAAATATTTGGGTTGCCAATCCAATTTCTCCCTTTATCACTAGTTATCTTTTCCAGATTAATCATTAGAATTTTTTGTATATCCTCCTTTATTTTGCAATCTTCAGTATCCTCAAGTTCAATGCCACTTGTTTCTGTAATTTCACAGTCATTATTTACTTCCTTCTCCTGCTTTTGTTCCCCAACTGTCGTATTCCTATGACCCGAGCCTGCCATGTAATGGAACATGTGGAATGAAAGGCGCTTAAAATCAATGGGGTTCAACTTCTCAACTGCTTGAACTCTAAGAGGTAAGAGAAGAGGTGAACAATAAGGAGCCGCGGAACGAGTTGTCATCACTGGGAGGACTGAAGTTGGAGTAGCTGGAGAACCAAATGGAGATTTGTTCTCGGAGTAGGAGGACTCTGACAAAGACCTCCCAAATGAACCAGTTTTGGGACTGTTAACTTTCACTGGTTCATCTTCATCCATCAAATCAAACAACCTTTCTCTTGCTAATTTAATCATGTCATGGAGCATTGCCAATGCTATTTCAATTTACAAAAAAGAAATAAAAATAAAAAAATCTTGTCAACTCCTATCAATAAACTTAACAGTATCTTAAATAAGAAGAGTTACCAACCACATTTTGGAGAAAAAACCTGACATATATACCATGTTGTTCCAACTTGTTGGAAGTCATTTTATCATATGCTACGGTTTTGGATTTCTCCACCCACTCATCTTTACTCATCCACATGTCTCCGATAGATTTCAAAGCTTGGCAAAGCGAGGCCAGTGCCTATTTGAAATGTCACGTTGATTAACATATATATTAAGACATTGTAAAAGTGCACACATTAACAATTTTAAGCATTATTTTTCTTCCTTAAAATTGGATAACCTGATTTATAGGTGTTCCTTCGATTTCTGACATCGAATTTTTGGGTACAATATTAGGGTACAACACGTGCAGATCCTTCACTGTCGTTATCACCAGCTGCAAGAAAGCAAAAAGGTTAATGGGCAGAACAAGTACAGGGCAAATTACGGCTAGTCATCGATTATTATGAGTTTCTAAGAAGAGAATGGGAGAGAGAAAAACATTGAAGAGTACGTACCTCATTTGCAGAAGCAGAGCCGACACATGGAGGTAGGTCAATTAAGTCCCTAAAAGTAAGAATCTTTTTCCTAAGCTCTTCCATTTTAAGGAATACACTGGTCGCACTGTTGGAATTGTGCACTTTAGAGCCTTTGAATAACTTGAGATTCCTCAATATATTTGACCTCTTGGTTGTCGCCACTGGCGACTCCTTTCCCTGTCGATATTGTTAGCTAATAGTTATACTTGGTAGCCATTTGATCTCGAGTTTAAGAATTTACATAACCTAAACTTTCTCTTCTGTTTTTTCTATTTTTTCAGAATTTTGTCATGTACTTTTGTTTAATGATCAAATATTGAATCATGAAGCCAATTTTGTGAGTTGAAGATCATAGTTCATTTATTTATTTTGGATTGATAATCATTTTCACCAAATATATGTATCAACTGAGGATATATAGATTACGTGGATTGTTAGTTTTCTGCAAATGAGATTATACATAACAAGGATTTTCTTGTGGACTAGGTTATTTTGATTGCAATTTGCTATTATTTGAGGTTTTATATCTCTTGATATGTACTAAAAGCAATAGATCATTAGAGAGAAATTAGTTTCATCCAAATATTTAAGAAAAGACAAGCTAAAGTTTGTCACGAAACACATAAAGAAGAACTTTCAGGCTTCTCAAAACTAAAGCAGCACTAGCATAGAAACATGACACAATATGGACAGGCCAACATGACAATTTTGAATGCTGAAAGGATTGCTTATTCATTAAAGGAAAAAGGGCAATCAAGAAAAACTTTAAACATGGTATTGAAAATACCCAAGCAAAGGCAAGCTGAAGTTTGTCAAAAACATATAAAGAACTTTCAAGCTGTTCGGAATTAAGAAGCACGAATACAGATACATTAGACGATACATAAACACCAACATGACATGATAATTTTGAATGCAACACATGAACCAATAGGATAAAGAACATAAGCCATCTTAATCTTCACAAAAAACGGGTTGCTCATTCCAAAAAAAAAAAAGGCAATCAAGAAAAACTTTAAACATGGTATTGAAAGTATTCAAGCAAAGGCAAGCTAAAGTTTGTGAAAAACATGAAAAGAACTTTCATGCTATTCAAAACTAAGAAGCATGAATACATGACGCAATATAGACACGCCAACACAACAATTTTGAATGCAACAGATGAAATATTAGGATAAAGAACTGGAAGTGGCCTTAATCTCCACAAAATAAGGCTTGTTTATTCATACATGAAAACATGGGCAATCAGGAAAAAAACTTCAAACATGGTATCGAAAATATTCAAGCAAAGCAAGCTAACGTTTGTCAAAAACACAAAAAGAACTTTCTGGCTGTTTGAAACAGATACTTGATACGATACAAACATGCACAATTTTGAATGCAACAGATGAAACAAGAAGTGAAATTGCCTTAATCTTCACAAAAAAAATGGTTGCCTATTTAAAAAAGTGAAAAGGGCAATCAAGAAAAACATTAAACATGGTATCAATGATGGAAACGTACCTCAAATCCATGTGACTTTTTACGAAACAGCAACGGTGCACAGCTATTCATGGCTAATCACTGGGAAAAAAACCTTATTTGGTTTTCAACAAAAAGAGGAAGATAAGACTGGTAATTTTTTGTTAAACAATTCACCATTCCAAGTCAACTTCCTTAGGTTAAACCTAAGGCCTGCAGGGTTAGAAATTGTGAGCCTAATAAAAAATAAACGACAACTAATATTCTGTACATGAATATTCAAAGTTCAAGATCAAATTTTGAATTAAAAAAAAAAACACATGAAAACGTGTGACGCAAATGTCTGGATTTCGATTCCTCTCCCTTGTAACTTGTTCTCTTCTTTGAAGAGAGGGAGAGAGAGTCAAATTACATGCAAAAATGGTGGTTTTGTATTTTTATTTTTTCTTTTTTTTCTTTTTTTTACAAACATAGGCGTGCAAACACGGATAATGATAGTTTTGTCATTGTTAATTTTTGGCATGTTGTCAATTAATGGGTATTTAGGGTGGGTTTATAATGGCTAATAACTAATCCATTTCCTGGAATGAAGGAGTATTGTTAATTTGAGAAATTTGCCAACTCAGGTACATGACAGCACTTGAGTGGTCTTAAGATGACATTTTTTTTTTTTGGTGCTTTTGTTGTGTACTAGTAGTTGACCTGATGCACATAAGTAAAAAAAATTAAGTAATATATTTTATAAATTTTATTTAAATTATTTATATATCTCTGTATACATTCATATAAAATTATTTTAAAAAATATATTGTAACGATTAAAAAACAATTGTTGGAGTTGCTCTTAAATGTTTTTGCTCTCTCTCACATTTGATAAATGAAATTAGCCCTAGAAACAAAAAGTAGGAAAGAGAAATCAAACTCCCCCTCTGAAAGTTTCAAATTGAAAGATTATACATAAAATATGTAAGAAATTGTATAATATGAGCCCCATTTTAAGATTTATGTTATATGTCTTAAGTTATGACATTTGTGGTATTTGGCTATGACTAATTCTGGCGTTAGTCATGAGTTGGTTATTACTCATTCTAATGCTAGTTATGACTCGATGTGATGTTAGTTATGACTTATTGTGATTTATTTTGTTATGATCGAAAATGTCTTTATTTATATCTTATGTAGTGTTTAGTTTTGATTATTTATTATTTATTTTTTTCAATTATGATTGAAAATGATTTAGCTGTGTCATAAATATTCTAGAATGATCCTTTTTGGTACAATTTCTTATAAGTTGAAAGTTGATAATTAAAATAAAAAGTTGAACATAATCCTTCTCCTAGTTTAATTAAATTATTTTTGAATCATAAGTTTTAAACAAAAGTTATATCAAATTTTCTTATCTAAATTTTTAAAATAAAAAATATATAAATAATCTCATAAGTTGCACCGAATAGATCTAGGTCAAACCACATCCTTAGTCTTTCTCAAAATTGGGTTTGAACCTCTAGAGATCCTTTTCAATCCCCCTTCCCTCTCCTCCCCGATCAAACTTGTTTAGTTTTCAAACTAAAAGTGTTTTTGAATTTTATATTCTAGTATTTCTTTTAAAAAAAATAGATGTATCTAATCAAAATGCATTTAAAAGATAAAATATTTATGAAAAATAAGAAAAATTCACCGAAGACAAGAAAAAGTAATGAAAATGACACATTTGTGTATTTTTTAATGATTTTCCCTCTAAATTTCTTCATAAATATTTAATTTTTAGGTTATATCGAAATTAAGTGCATCTAAATATCAAAAAAAAAAAAAAAAATTAAAAAAATGAGATATTAGAGGAAGATAAGACTGGTAATTTTTTGTTAAACAATTCACCATTCCAAGTCAACTTCCTTAGGTTAAACCTAAGGCCTGCAGGGTTAGAAATTGTGAGCCTAATAAAAAATAAACGACAACTAATATTCTGTACATGAATATTCAAAGTTCAAGATCAAATTTTGAATTAAAAAAAAAAACACATGAAAACGTGTGACGCAAATGTCTGGATTTTGATTCCTCTCCCTTGTAACTTGTTCTCTTCTTTGAAGAGAGGGAGAGAGTCAAATTACATGCAAAAATGTTGGTTTTGTATTATTATTTTTTCTTTTTTTTCTTTTTTTTACAAACATAGGCGTGCAAACACGGATAATGATAGTTTTGTCATTGTTAATTTTTGGCATGTTGTCAATTAATGGGTATTTAGGGTGGGTTTATAATGGCTAATAACTAATCCATTTCCTGGAATGAAGGAGTATTGTTAATTTGAGAAATTTGCCAACTCAGGTACATGACAGCACTTTAGTGGTCTTAAGATGACATTTTTTTTTTTTGGTGCTTTTGTTGTGTACTAGTAGTTGACCTGATGCACATAAGTAAAAAAAATTAAGTAATATATTTTATAAATTTTATTTAAATTATTTATATATCTCTGTATACATTCATATAAAATTATTTTAAAAAATATATTGTAACGATTAAAAAGCGATTGTTAGAGTTGCTCTTAAATGTTTTTGCTCTCTCTCACATTTGATAAACGAAATTAGCCCTAGAAACAAAAAGTAGGAAAGAGAAATCAAACTCCCCCTCTGAAAGTTTCAAATTGAAAGATTATACATAAAATATGTAAGAAATTCTATAATATGAGCCCCATTTTAAGATTTATATTATATGTCTTAAGTTATGACATTTGTGGTATTTGGCTATATGACTAATTCTGGTGTTAGTCATGAGTTGGTTATTACTCATTCTAATGCTAGTTATGACTCGATGTGATGTTGGTTATGACTTATTGTGATTTATTTTGTTATGATCGAAAATGTCTTTATTTATATCTTATATAGTGTTTAGTTTTGATTATTTATTTTTTATTTTTTTCAGTTATGACTGAAAATGATTTAGTTGTGTCATAAATATTCTAGAATGATCCTTTTTGGTACAATTTCTTATAAGTTGAAAGTGGATAATTAAAATAAAAAGTTGAACATAATCCTTCTCCTAGTTTAATTAAATTATTTTTGAATCATAAGTTATAAACAAAAGTTATATCAAATTTTCTTATCTAAATTTTTAAAATAAAAAATATATAAATAATCCCATAAGTTGCACCGAATAAATCTAGGTCAAACCACGTCCTTAGTCTTTCTCAAAATCGGGTTTGAACCTCTAGAGATCCTTTTCAATCCCCCTTCTCTCTCCTCCCCTTTCTCAAAATCGGGTTTGAACCTCTAGAGATCCTTTTCAATCCCCCTTCTCTCTCCTCCCCGATCAAACTTGTTTGGTTTTCAAACTAAAAGTGTTTTTGAATTTTATATTCTAGTATTTCTTTTAAAAAAAATAGATGTATCTAATCAAAATGCATTTAAAAGATAAAATATTTATGAAAAATAAGAAAAATTCACCGAAGACAAGAAAAAGTAATGAAAATGACACATTTGTGTATTTTTTAATGATTTTCCCTCTAAATTTCTTCATAAATATTTAATTTTTAGGTTATATCGAAATTAAGTGCATCTAAATATCAAAAAAAAAAAAAACTAAAAAAAGGAGATATTATCAATCTGTGTAGTGCCAAAAAAATAATTATAAATCAATGGAAAACTTTATCAACATTTTTTTTGGGTAAGTAAGTCATAAAATAAAGACAATGAAATTATACAAGTTTACAAGGGGCATACCCTAGGCACGCCCAACAACAAAGAAAAAAAAACGAAACCAACTTAAACTACTACTGCACCCCTAAAAGGGGTACACACCAGAATAACAGAAAACACAATAACCCAACTCTGTCCATATATCCTATTTGTCCCCAAGTAACTCCTACCATCAGAGATAATAGATGGAAACTTGAGGTGAATATATGTGCAAAGATACAAAGACACCACAAAGCTAAAAAACAACACAGACACAAACACAGAACAACAAAACAACAACCCTCAAGTCGAATCAAAGATGATAACCAACCCCATATGCCCCCAGTCTCTGCTGCAAATAAACACATGGAATCCAATAAACATTCCACTCCTCATAGCCGTGACATCCAAGCCACTTAACTAAAGCCGTGACGGAAGAAAAAATCTACCCCATGAGGAATCCCAACAAAGTCACATGAAGCTAGCACGATCAAAAACCATAAGCCACGTACTAGGGAGTTGTAGTGAAAAATCAATAGCCCCACAGCAACAAACCAATATATAGCCAACAAAATCATGAGATCAATCATCACATTCCCCAGTCCCTTCCTTGGTAAATCACAAGCCTCAAACCCCATGGTAGTATGCCCTCCACTCCATGTCAGGCGTGGCAATATGATCAATTAGGATGGGTCACATGAAGACAAGAAGCGACCAGAAAACCGGTAGCTATCCTCTCGCTCATCTCCCAGTCTCGAACTCGGCTAGTAAATGAACCACTATTCCCCATAGCAGTGACTCCCCAATCACTCTTGGCAGAAATGGCTTAAAACCACCCTCATATCGAGTCACATGAAAATCACATGATCAAACATCATAAAATAATCAATTATAAATGATCCGTTGCAGAGAAACTAAACAAAGAGAATTATCCAAAATGAACCCCAAAATTTATAGTGGGCAAAAAACCCCATATAAATCTCATATGGGCCCACAAAAAATAGGCCACATTTTATCAAGCCCAATGCTCATGGGCCCAAAGGCAACAACTGCAAACACCTAGTCACGAACCAAATAGCCGTGGGCCCAAAATTAATTACCACGACAGCCCAGCAAAATTCAAAACAGCAAACAATGGGCCCAAAAAAAATACAACCAAATCACGTACTTGAGCCCACCAAACCATAATCACCTATAAAAGCAGCCCAAGTGAACCCACCTAACTGCCACAAAATTAGCCCACAAAATAGCCTACCCAAGCGGGCCCACAACACCATACTGGGGCCACATCTTCAGTAAAAACAGCCCACGTAAAAATAGATTCACTGCCCAATAACAAAACCCACATATGCTTCAGCGAAGGTGGGATAAAAGAAATTCAAATTAAAGAACACCAACACCCAACCATAGCAAATCAGCTCATTGACTGAGGCACACACCCACGTGGTTAGGCGATAGCCCCTAAAGCAGTTACATTCCCAATAAACAAGCTGTATACAACTGGCCACATCTGTAACCACGTCATAGCAGTTGTAGAAAACCCATGTGAATGAGTTCGGATCCTCTCCTTGTGAAAGGTCCTCCATTCTCTGCTTGCAATAGTTTAGATGAGTCGTTGGTCATTCAACGACTGAGATTATAAAAAAAAAAAAAAAAAAAATCAAAAATGAAATGTTTTCGACTTCCCGCCCAAACAAAACAACAACATAGCTCAAAGATTCACTCTCACTCTCACACAGCACTCTCACCGGCGAACCCATCCTCACCGACGACGAACTCCTCAGAACCTAAGATGCCTTCTGCCGCCAAAGCTTTCGACTAATGCTCTTTACAAATTACAGTCGACACTAAGGTCAGAAATCGAATACGAGTTCTCATTTTGAGTTTGAAATTGTTTCCATTTGATCGCTTTTCATAACCCACAAACAAATCACTAAACCCCAAGAAAAATCCTGAATTCATTCTCTGAACAATCGCATGAAAATTGGAATTATGTGAATATTGTGCTGTCTTTGTAATCAATATTATCAAGAATTTATTGTTTGGCTTATAAAGATTTGTTTTTGGGTTCTGGAATTTGGATTTCACAAGACTTGGGAAGTGGGTATTTGGTCACTAGTCAATTCCCTTTTCTATCTGATGAATAAGCAACTGGTGCTTGCTGGAATTCACTGTTGCCATGTGTTGCCATATGATTTTCTGTTCTGATTGTCTGGATGAAGTTAAGTTGATCTGCGTTGGATGATTATTGTTACATTTATATATTGGCTAAATAAGTCACTGTGGTTTGGTGGACTGTGATTTTTTTGCTGCTGAAAAGGGGTTGTATGTTGTTTGTTTCCTCTAAGCTGTTCCTTATACAAATTTATGTAGTTGGTGTGTTTTACCTCTTTTGTTGCTCATCTGATTGTTATTGTGATGTTTTGTTAAAAGGCTCGTAAATTATCTCAGTTTTGCCATAACAGGGTAATGTTATGGGCCTTATCACAGTATGTCTCCTGGTTTTTGTAGACATGGCAGTCTCATGGGTCATGTAATTATTAACTGGTGTCTAGATATTTTATATTGAATCTCATGAATAATTGAATGAAGCAATATCTATCTATATTAATTTAATCTGGTTTTTAATAATTCAATTTCCTTAATTCCAGTAATTTTCCTTCTATGACATATGGCCCTATCTATAAACCAGATAAATTTTATCTATAAACCAATTTCAATTCATTTTCATAGCACTACAACCTAAGCAACCCTGCAATCTTATTAAGAAGCTCAACTATCATTAACTTTAGATTTTATTTATATGGGTTTTCAATTGCATTTTGATATGGATATGGAACCTGAGAATGACTGTGATTGGAAGCCAAAACAGGGAATGATATTTGATTCTGAACAATGTACGTATGATTTTTATAATACATATGGAGGAAGAATGGGGTTTAGCATAAGAAGGGATTATTGTAAGAAGGACAAGTTCACTAATCAACTTATTCATAGACTTTTGGTTTGTAACAAGGAGGGATTTCGAAAGGTTGACAAGCGAGACCCATTGTCAAAAAACTCTAGAGCTGAAACTAGGACTGGTTGTGAGGCTCGACTTTATATTAAATTACATGAGGGTACTGGAAAATATGTTGTGTCTGATTTCAAAGAAAAACACAACCATGATCTTGTATCACCCGAGTGTGCCCACATGTTGCCGTCACAAAGAAAGATATCAACTACCCAAGCAATTCAGTTAGATTTAGCGGCACAATCTGGTCTTCGTTTAGGCCAGTTTTTTGAACTCATGGGTAGGGAAGCTGGTGGAAGGCAATGTCTTGGTTTTACGAAATTTGATTCTAAAAATTATTTGAGAACCAAAATACAACAAAGTTTAGCATATGGGGAAGTAGGTAATGTGTTGCAATACTTTAAAGAAAAATCTTTGCAGAATCCTTCATTCTTCTATGCTGTTCAATTAGATAATGAGGAGCAAATTACCAATACGTTTTGGGCCGATGCACAAATGATCATGGATTATGCCTAATTTGGTGATGTTGTCACATTTGATACACTTACAAGTTAAACAAAGAACATAGACCCTTCGCATCTTTTGTGGGATTTAACCATCATAGGGAAACAGTTATATTTGGTGTAGCATTGTTGTATGATGAGACCGCCGAATCGTTTGTATGGTTGTTTGAAAATTTTCTAGAGGCTATGTCAAGAAAGGCACCTAAAACTTTGTTCACCGATCAAGATGCTGCAATGGCTAAAGCCATACCCATCGTTATACCTGACACAAGTCACCGATTGTGTACTTGGCATTTGATGCAAAATGCATTAAAACATGTTAACTGTTTGTTCCAAGATAAGGAGGTGAAGGGTGTACTAAATAAATTCTTCTTTCACATTGAAGATGCAAATCAATGGAAGTTAGAGTGGGCGGAAATGCTTGATAAATATGATGCGCATGAAAACCATTGGTTAAAATTGACTTTTGCGGTGAAAGAAAAATGGGGCTGGCCTTACGTTAGATCAACATGGGCTACGGGAATGAGTACCACGCAACTTAGTGAATCTTTTAATGCCTTTTTGAAGGATTACATTCGTTCTGATTTTAACTTAAATGAATTTTTCATGCATTTCAAAAGAGTACTTTACGAGAAGCGATACAAGGAGTTAGAAACAAGATATGCTTTGTGCCAAAGGTTGCTAAAGGTGAAAGCAACAATAAGAATGTTAATTCAAATGGGTAATGTCTACACAAAAAATATCTTTGAGGAATTCCAAAATGAGTACTTTCAATCCATTGAATTGGACATAGAAACAATTGAATATGGGGAGGCTAGTACCATTTACACAGTTGTTGATGTTGGTAACAAATATGCAAGGAAAGTGAAGATGGAGAGGGATGGCTCTTTGGGTTGTAATTGTACAAAGTTTGAAAGGGAAGGAATCTTGTGTTGTCACTCATTGAAGGTTATTAGAGACATATTGAAGATGAAAGAGGTTCCTCCACAATATATTCTAAAGAGGTGGACCAAACAAGCAAGAGCCGAAACTGTAAAGGACATTACGGGGAATGACATTCAAGTAGATGTGAAATTCCAACAAGCCTCGCGGTATAAGACATTGATGACCGCATTTAGAGCACTAGCAAGTAGAGCTGCCGAAACCGAAGAAACTTATGATTTTTGTATTGCACAGCTTGCTACATTAGGTGCAAATGTTGAAGGCAAGTTAAGTGCTCATTTTGGTGTTGGAAATGAAGTAGGTAATGATGATGACAACCAAAGCTTTGAAGTGGATTGCGAAGACGTGAATCATGTTGTGCAACCAAAAGGATTGAAGAAAAAGGTGGCCGCAAACTGTAGACACCCCATTTTTGACCGCCTTTAAGACTTGGGCACTACTGATGGTTTACTTGTGTGGAGAAAGATGTGTAGGGAAAAGGTTCAGTTTCTTTCGGCAAGGAGAGAGTCAAATCTCAACTCATACCCGTTTTTTGGACCAAGACAATCTTGATCAAAAGATTTTAGACTTGAAACCCTCTCTTTCAAAATGTTTGAAAATAAAGTTCTACGATGTTCCGACGCTCGCATTTTGTTAAATGTCGCGCTTTTCGATAAACCGAGCAAGGACAAAGTGGAAATGAATAAAAGAGAGATGAAATCTTTGAAAAAATCTTTCAAAACACCTTGTTTAGGGGTTTGGAGTTGAAGAAAAGAAGAGTGGAAGAGAAGAAACCTAGTTGAGGAAGAGGATGGGCATGAATCGCTAAGAGAGAGTCGAGTGGTCCTCGCTAAATCAGGCTTATCTGTCTATACACTTGGATTTAAGCTATGAAGCCACCACTGTTGGAAAGGAGACTTCCGGGGCTTCATTTTGCACTCAAGAATCTCCTAAAGCCAAGTTCGGATGGGGGAGAATGGTTGGTTGAAGTAGGGCATCAATCCGGTTGGACCGAATCTGCGCGGCTTCACCAAAACAGGCATAACTTTTGCACAGAGTGAATTTTAATGCAAGGTTTGCACCATTGGAAAGCTAACTTCTGGGGCTTCATCCTAGGGGTGGCCGACCACCTTGACCCTTTTGACCTGGTCGGTAGCTCCCATCCTGTTTGTCTTAGTGAGTGTGTTCCAGCTGTGCCAGCTGGGAGGCATTTGCTGCATCCTCCATATGGAGGATCTTGGCCCTTGGTTTGAAGCTTCTTGAGAAGCTTTAGACCTTTTGTTCTATAAGAGAAACCATATCCCTCACTTGAAAGGGTTTAGAAAATTGCTAGGGCTAAACAATATATCTCTCTTTATATCTCTCTCTTTGAGCTCTAAATTGCTTGGTTCTTGGCCCCTTTGCACCACCTCTCATAGCCTAACACTTCCATCATCAACCTAAGGTCTTTGGAGGTATTTTCAGAGGTTTAAGGTTGAGATTTTGGGTCCAAGAGGCTGCTGGTTTCTGCTGGTCTTCAAGGGTAACTATTTTTCCCTTTTTGAGCATTATTTTGATCCATCTTTTAGCTATACTTGCAAGCATTTTCGATCTTGACATAAACTGAAAAGAGTCTTATTTTTGAGTCCCTCTTGAAGTTTGTTTAAGGACATTTTTCTGTTAGAGGTCATCTACCCCCTTGTATGCTCCATCCCTCTTTTAAGACTTATTTTACTTCATATCTTAGCCTTACTTGCAAGCATTTTCGAGCCTTGACATAAACTGAAAAAAGTTTTATTTTTGAGCTCCTCTTGAAGATTGTTAAGGTCATTTTTCTTGTTGGGGGTCATTTACCCCCTTGCATGCTTGTTTGCATCTTATTTTGAGCCTTACATCTAGACCTTGGTTTTTGTGCTTTGTTTGGCCTTTCTAGCCACTAAAATCCAGTGGATTTTCAGTGGCTAGCATACTATTTTGAGAGCCAAAATCAGAGGGGGTGGACCCCTCTTCTCCTTACCTTGTTTGTTGGCCCTTTTAGCCTTACAAAGGAGCTCCACTTTGCATGTTTTGAAGCCAGTTTTCAGGTCCTATTTGGTGAGTATTAAGGTCTACATGAACTCTATCTGGAGCCCATTTTTCCATATAAAGTGTCTATATGCATGTGTAGAGTAATCCTATTCAAGACCTTTCAAAGGGGCTTTCACTTGTATGCTTCCTAGACTAATTTCAGGACATTTTTTAGTGAGTTTTAGGGTCCTCTCATAACCTCTGTCCAGAGGTGGTTTTTTTCATTTTGTATGTCTATCTTATATGTGTGGAACAACCCTTGCATGCCTTCTAAAGGAGCACATCATCTTTGCATGCATTGACTGAGTTTCAGTGGATTTTTGGGCATTATTGGCATGGCATACTTCTATTTTTGGCTGGTTTGGTGAGCTCTCATGTGCTTCATATAGCTGTAGTGCAAATCATGGTTCACTAGCTTACTTTGCATGCTTTGTTGACCCTTGATTTCTAGCACATTCTGGCCATGCCTTAAACTGATTTTTTGTGCATATATTTTGGACTGCCCTAGCTCTGTTTTCTTGGGGTTTTCTTTCATTTTTTTCTTTTTTTTTTTCCTTTTGTTTTTCCTTTCCCCTTTTTTTTTTTGGGGAT